TGGTTGCTGTTAAATAGGAATCTCCTTGTGCTAGGGCCCTTAAGTCCGGCTCAAAGGCGGGATTTCCATCCTCGGATGTCAATCAAGAGGCAGAAGCGCAGCAGGCGCGACTGGGTTTTAATGAGATGCTTTGGGCTGCGCTTGTGGGTCTCTAAGTTGGTCGACCCCGCCTCAAAGCCAGGATCCAATGGTTAGGCTAGGACAGCGCTCTCGCGTCCGGGGTAAGTAGGACAGCCTGGCCGGTCCCTGCAGTCTCTTCCCGCTAGGCAGCGTCTGCCCATCGACCTGGTCTCCAGACACCTCTCTCCCAACTGCTCCGTGGTCTGGGTTTCATTTAACACCTCCACCAGGTCTGTGCAGTTCTCGCACATCGTTTAACCGCCGCCTTCCATGATAGAAGCCCTCATAGATTACTTGAGAATGGCATAATTCATTTTCCGTCAACTGCTGGCACCATGTAGTCTCTTCATTGGAGTTTTCTTTTCTTTCATGAAAAGAGGCCTGGTAGCGTAGTGGATTAGACGCTAACCGCAAGGTCAGTAGTCAGTTGCTCCAAGGGAGAAAAATGAGGCTTTCTGTTCCCATACAGATTTATAGCCTTGGAAACTCTATATAGGGTTGCTATGAATTGAAACCAACTCCATGGCACAAAACCACCACCACCCATTCATAAAACAGCTTATTTCAGTTCCTTGGCCATTTAAAACAACCTCATTAATACAATAGGTGAGAATAATGTTTTTACTCATGATACTGAGTTTGTTGGAAAACCTTATCTCTAAATGTAATGCATTCACAATACACAAACCACTCAGTTGAAATATTTTGATCCTACCTTGATGTCAATAAAATTCTCGGGGCAGTACTTTTCAATTTCTGCTTCAAAGAGGACAAGAGGATTGCAGCTATGCCTAGAAAATAAATGAAAACACAAGGGGTTATACAATTTAAGGGGGAAAAATTCCTACCTCAGTACACTAGTGAGACCAAACTGTGCTCCTGGATGGATCCCCCCACTAAAAAGCCCCAGGAGAAAACTCAAGATGCTTACAGGTAAGCATCTGACCGTCTTTATAATGTACTTTCCACTTCCCCATGAAGATTAAGAAGAGTTGCTAGGAAGAAATTCTAGAACCCTTTCATGCACATTTGCAAGGATATAATGTAATCCAATGACTGCATGAAAAAGTTCTTCTTATTCTCAAGATACTATAAAAATTCAAATGAATCAGAAAGGTCTTCCCGTTATTTTACTAACCATTTTCTAAACTGCATCCGGAAATCATGAGCCAGCAAATGTCCAGAAACTGAAGTCATTACCATGGTAACATTCTGAACGACAACAAAACTTGAGTTATTCTCTTAGCAATTATATTTTGCCAAGTCAACGGAAGTAAAAGGGAGGGAATTCTATGAAAGAAAAATAAAATAAAACTAAACAGTGGACTGAGAACAAACATAAATATGGCTCTGCGAAGCCAAAAGCCATCATAAATATAGTCATCATTCTAGTACCACAGTGCCTTGTTTATCATTTCAAATTTCTTCAAACTATCATACATTAGCAATTACACAGCTTCCTTCTTGTTATAAAAGGCTAAAATGGAACCATATTTGTTGAAAAAAATTCTTTTTAATTTGTCAAGGAGCTCCTGTGGCATAGTGATTATTGTTGTTGAGTGTCATCGAGATGGTTCTGACTCATAGTGCACGTGACTAATGGTGGTTAAAGCACTTAGTTGCCAACTAAAAGGTATGTGGTTCAAATCCACCAGCCCCTCTGCAGGAGAAAGATGTGACAGTCTACTTTCGTAGAGATTAAGGCCTTGAAAACCCTAATGGGCAGTTATTCTGGATGAATTAAAAAGCTGCCTTCTTAACCACCGCTGAATCAATGAATATCCGTGGTATGTACACCAAACAGCACTTAGATCTGAAAGCACATATCAGTTGTATCAGGGCACTGCTTCAGCACCTACCTGGCCATACAGGTGATAGTCAAATTCATAGATCTTGTTGAACTTAGAAAATCCTTCCCTCTAGAAAATGTAACAGAAATAGAGAATTTATAAATGACAATACTAAAAGTGTAATGGTATCTCCTACAGATACAAAGCTGTATTACTAAGATCATTAGGTGACCCCTTAAAACAAAACTGGCAATATATGAGGACAAGTCAAAAAGTATTGCTATACAATTATAAAAACTAGTATTAAACAAAAATGATCAGTAAGTTTAACTCTTACTTCTCAAGCTATCCTCTACCTAGGTCTACACACTTCGAGAGTGGTGTTTCCATTTCTGTAACCCCGCCCCCCAGAATGCTGCACACTTTGATTTATACTACGCCACAATGGCAGCTCTGGCATCCATCCTTGAGGGATTCAAATCCTGTTGCTTTTAAACGTTGAGTTCTTTGGACAAAAAGAAATCTACCAAAAGAAATCTGGGTTTAGGGTAGATGGGTTAAGATTTTCCAATGAAATTCTTGTAGGATAGCCCTTGCTATCCTCAAAGAATGAGCAGATGCACTGGCATCTTACTCACCAATGTAGTGTTCAATTTTCTTATAAAGCTTCTACAAAATAAGTCTCATGATAATTCTGTGTCTTTCAAGAAAATTAATCAAGATTACCTCTTAGTGTTGTTGTTAGGAGCTATTAAGTTGGTTCCCACTTACAGTGACTCCATGTACAACAGAACAAAATACGACCAGTACTGAGCGATCCTCACAATTGTTACATCTGAGCCTATTGTTGCTGACACTGTCTCAATCCTTCTTGTTGGAGGTCTTCCTCTTTTTATATTGACCCTCCACTTTAGCAAGGGTGATGACCTTTTCCAGGGACAAATCCTTCTTGACAATATATCCTAAGTTTGAGAGATGACGTAATGACCATCCTCACTTTTAAGGTGCAATCCTACTGTACTTCTTCCAAAATAGACGTGTTCATTTTTCTGGCAATCTAGAAAACTTTCAATATTCTTAGGCAACACCATAAATAATATGCATCAATTCTTCTCTGGTCTTCCTTATTTGTTGTCCAGCTTTCACATGCACATGGGGTGACTGAAATGACTTGGGTCAGGTACACCTTGAATCTCAAAATGACATCTTTGTTCTTTTACACTTTAGAGAGCTCTTTTTTTGCAGCAGATTTGCCTACATGCAATATTATGTCATTTGATTTCTTTTTTTAATGTTTTATTGTGAGTTATGTGATAGTTTACATGGGAGAACATTAGCTTCACAATGATCCCATCGTATATCATTTCTTTGCCATAGTTACAATCCCTTCCAGGCATCATTCACCAACCAAAGGGTATACACTGCAAGCCTGCTCCCCCACCACCTCGGGTCATCAGCACACAGCCCCCTCCCTCTCTGTGTCCAAAGATCCCAGCCACTCCATCTCTCTACGTCATTGTCTCTGCCTCCATCATTGGCATCACTGCTTCTCTGGGTAGGGTTCCGTTCTCCGCTCTTCTCCCTTGATGGACCTAGGGACCTCCACTCCTAGACTGAAAAGTTAATCACTCCCCTCCCTTTGCCACAAAATGTCTACCTTTATTTTTCCAGCCCTTAAAATCTCAACAGCTCTGATAACAATTACTCCCTATTGTATCTCAAGAGACCTATCCCCATCTCCTTTCATCAGTCCTACCTAGACAGATTGGATACTACTCAGTGAAGATTCTACCTTCCTCCACACCCTCTGGATCTAGGTTCTCTCTTGAAAGCTTGTAAGCCAGTCACTTCTTGACTCTGTAGCACCCCCATTCTGAGTAGCCAATGTCCAAGTTGCCCATCCCTGTCCTCTCTTTGTGTGGCGGGGTTGGGATTGTTCTTCCTGTGAAGATTTGTTCACTCTTTTGAGCTACTGCATCCATAGGTGTAGGTCAAATTCATCAAATTGTATCAGATTCTTTCTTTCTTTCTTTCCTCTTCTTTCTTCTTATGGTTGAGCTCTGGTCATCCAGTCACTGAAGCCAGGTCAAGTGAGTATTATCTGCAAGTGTGGGTGTACTTATGCATGTGCCCTCTCTTCTTATCAGCTGGACGCTTCACTCTCCACTCTAGTCCTCTGTGGCTATGTCACTGATTCTGGGTCCAAGCGTCCCCTGGACTTGGCACACTGCTGGCCAACCAGGTCTCCATTGGGTTCACAGGAGTCTATTGAGCATTGTAGAGCTTAACTCGCAACTTCATCTCTGTTTTTCCCTCACTTCCCCTTATTGGTGACAAACGTGGTCACAAATCAGAGCATGTGTTCCCATTGAGTCTTAGTCTTAGAGGGAGGTTTGCCCTGAGGGGACCTGACCACTTGCCTTGATGTCTCCTGGGTGAGCTACTTGCTTGTTTTTGTAGTAATCAGTCGGTCTGCCTATATTGTTTTGTATTTTTCCTGTCAGTCTTTCTTTCAAGAAGTATCTTCTGTTCTTCTCGCAGCTCCAGGCTGGTCTGCTTGTCCTTTCAAGTGGAAATTTCCCCTCAGAAGATTCTGAATGCTGTTCAGGATTCCACCTATGGTCTTGTGTAATGCAGAGGCTCCACAGGAAGTTTCCTTCACTGGGCATGTTGTAGGCCCATTTTAGGTATTCCAATCAGTTACAGGCAGAAGACGGACTTACAAGCTTTCTATGGTGATATTCTATGGCTATTCCTTTCTCTCCCCCTCCAGCGTCTATTTTATAGTGGTATGCCAGGGAAACCAAGATTCAAAAGACAGTCAAGCATCTTAACATTATTTCCCACCTTTTCCCCATTCTAACCATGTCTCAATCTCTGTATCCCAGAGTCCTATTGTTCCAAGGTTGTGGATACATCATTATTTGCCTCTGTCCCACTTCAGCTTCACATTCATCCTATCATATTTCATTTCATCCTATCATATTTCATTTCATTGCAACAATTACAATCCCCTCCATGCATCATCAAATAACTAAAGGATACACCCCACAGGCCTGCCTACCCTGGGTGTCAGCAAACAGCTCCTCTCCCTCCCTGAGTCCCGTGTCCTCATCCACTCCATCTGTCCACACCAACATCTCTGTCTCCATGCCTGGCCTCATTGCCTCCCTGGGTAGGGTCATACTTTCCGCTCTTCTAGCTTAATGCTCCTGGGTTGCAAAATCAATCAATCTCCTCCTTTTGCAAAAAAAAAAAGAAAGAAAAACAAATCTGCCTCTACATTTCCAATCCTCACAGTCAATCCTGGTGGCAGGCTGTACAACTCACTGTTGTAACACAAGAGTCTTATCCCCATTTCCTTTTGCCAGCCCGGTCCCAACAGACTGGAAATCATTCAGTGGAGGTTCTGCCTACCTCTGCCCCATGTGGAACTAGGCTCCTTCTTGAAAGCTTGTAAACCAGTCACTTCTTACCTTTATAGCCAGCCCCCAACTTTTGGATCTGGGAAATTTCCAGCTGCGCTCAAGGTACTCCAGTCAGTTATAGGCTGAAGACAGGCTTACATGTTTTCTGTTGTGATGTTTCTGGCTATCCCCCTCCCCACCTCAAGTGTCTATTTCACAATGATAGACAAGTGAAACCAAGATTCAATAGACAGCCAAGATCCTAACATTATTCCCCTCATTTCCCCTTTCAATCCATGCCTCAATCCCTGTATCCTGAAGCCCTGTTATACCAAGGTTCTGCATACATCGTCATTTACCTCTGTCCCACCTAGCCCATACAAACCTGCCCAACTGTTCTCCCATCCGCCTTGTTCTTCTTTTCCCTCCCCCTTCTTGTGTATTGCCAGGCCCCACCCCCAGCACCCAGGCTCTCCTGTGTCTATTCCCTATCCTGTGATCTTTCTTCCCCTCCCTGCCTCCCCTCCTCTCATCCCATACATCCTGGTGATCAGCAATTATATATATAGATTCCCACCCCCCTTTTGGGTGGTTTCTTTTTCTAAGTCTTTTACAATAATGGTCTTATGTAGTATTTCTCCTTTTGTGACTAATTTCACTCAGCATAATGTCCTCAAGGTTCATCCATGTTATGTGATAGCTTGCAGCTTCCTTGTTCTTTAAAGTAGCATAGTATTTCATTGTATGTATGTACCAGTTTGTTTATCCATTCTTCAATTGATGGGCATTTTGGCTGTCTCCATTTTTTTTGCTATTGTAAATAGTGCTGCTATGAACATTGGTGTGCATATACCTACTTGTGTCATGGCTTGTATTTCTTGTGGATAAATACCAAGTAGAGGAATTGCTGGGTCATACGGTATTTCTATTTCCAACCTTCACAGGAAGCACCGTTTTGCTTTCCAGAGTGGCTGGATCATTTTGCAGTCCCACCAACAATGTAGGAGGGTCCCAGTCTTTCTGCATCCTCGCCAGCATCTGTTGTTCTCTGCCTTTATTTTTTGTTTTCAAATCTTTGCTATTACTGCTGGTGTGAGATAATAACTCACTGTTGTTTTATTTTACATTTCTCTGATGGCTAGTGATCGTGAACATTTCTTCACATGTTTGTTGGCCGCCCAGATCTCCTCCTTGGTGAAGTGTCTGTTCATGTCCTGTGCCCATTTTTAAATTGGGTTATTTGTCTTTTTCTTGTAGAGATGTTGTACTTTCCTATATATTTTAGAAATGAGTCCTTTATCTGATGTGTCATTGAAAAAGATTTTTTTCCTATTCTGTGGGTTCCCTTTTTACTCTTTTGGTAAAGTCTTTTGATGTACATAATTAAAAAAAATTTTTTTAGTATGTCCCACATATCTATTTTATCTACTTTTGTTTGTATACTTTTCAAAATGTTTGGTAGTCTGTATATGCCCTGAATTAGCACCCTCACATTTGTCTCTATTTTTTCATTGATGACCTGCATAATTTTGGGATTCATATTTAGATCTTTAATCCATGCTGACTTCGTTTTTGTATAGGGTGTGAGGTAAAGGTCTTGTTTCATTCTTTTGCATATCGCTTTCCAGTTCTGCCAGCACCATCTGTTAGAGACTATCTCCTCCCCATGCCATATGCCTAGGCACTTTGTCGAAAATCATTTGGCTGTATGTGGATGGGTTA